CACACACACACACACACACACACACACACACACACACACACACGTACACACACACACACACGCGCGCGCACGCACGCACGCACGCACGAACGCACGCGAAAACACACACACACACACACACATATATATACGCTTTCCTTTGCGCGTCAACAATTTTATAAACTGATATTATCTTCCATCGCGCACTACTTCTCGTATTTTTGCTGATATGTAGCCGTGTATTCGATGCTGCTATTTATGTCGCGATATAAGCCCATACATGAATCGCACACATGTGTGTGTGATTACCCCACATGGTTCAGGAACACACGAGAGTAAGAAATGCGTTAGACACGCTACACTAGGATTAATACTCGCGGCTTTGATTCGTGTTTCCCTCCTCCGCGGTATCACCGTTGTGCGTATTCCCAGATCCATATATAGAGGCTCTTTTACTGAGCTACAACCTTACTGAATCCGCAACTACCACCGCGAGCGTATCGCTGTCAAGTGTGCCAGATACAATCCGGAGCTGCATCTGTACGCTGTTCGCGCGTGGAACGTGAGAGAGCTGCGAAAATAAGTTCGCGTTCAACAGAGTAACGACGAGTTCGGCGAAGAATATCTCCTTTTTTCTCGCGACAGTATTTCACTGATTTGACTCGAATTCAACTCGAAAATACTGTTAGTAGGAAGTCAAAATATTTTGTTGTCGGACATTTCGATTAAATGACGTATTAATAAAATAAATCGTCGATTGGTGATTGATAATCATAAACAGATAAATTTATAGAACTTGCGCTGAGAAGTCTCATTTTGGAACGAGAAGTCTTGTTTTGAAGAACAGCGAATTATAGTTGTTAAAGTATAAATAAAATATCTTTTTGTTTCGGAAAGTTGTGTAATAGCGTGCTACCATCTCTCTCGTCGATCGGTGGCACAATAAGATGTGACAGATGATCTTACTTTAACGATAGGGGATTTAAGGATTATTTATTGTTATTAAAAGTTCGTGTTTTCATTTCTTTGAATATAGACTCAGATTTCATATAATTTTTGCGTTGAATGGATAGGCATATATTTTATTGGATTATTCACACCATAGAAAAATTATTGCCGTCATAAGGTTTTACGGACAGTGCAGCTACACATTGTGTACAATTCATAGACACGAACAACGATGCGGTTCGGCAGGAATTCAACACACTTCTTGGATATGTCCCGGTCTCAGTGCACGTACATTTTGTTGCAACTTACGTGCGCGATTATCTTCGTAATTGGCGCCGTCGATCATCCTCATATGAACGTTTCAGATACTCAGGAATGCAAAGAATCGGAGTTCAAATGCACCAACGGCAGATGCATACCCAATATATGGCATTGTGATGGCGACCGAGATTGTCCAGACGGCTTGGACGAGGATCCTGCAGTTTGCAGTAAGTTATAATTTTTTATAATGCATGCAACAAAAATTCCACGTTTATACGAATACATTCCGACTGATCGCTTAATATACAATATTTTATAAAAATATGTATGCTAAAAAATACTTTCTAACTTTATATGTCATAACTTTTGGAAATAGGTAATCTTAAGATAAGAGACATTATATTAAACTTGAGATAAAAATCTCGTGAAAATATTACACTACTGACAATTTTAATTACATTTTTAATCTTGATCAGAAATGACTTGTTAAATATTTATACACATGCCACATTTTCTCAAATCTTGTAAAATTGTGGATACAAAGCTTATTACTTCCTTTAAAAATATTTTTTAAACGTATTATCTTGTATATATATGCACAACACACACACACACACACACACACACACACACACACACACACACAGCTAAACCAAGTAGATGTTTATCTGAATAAAGTGCATTTCCGGCAGTAAACATTCTGGTATATATGTGAAAGTGCAACTTTTGAGACCGGTTTCACGCAAATAAAACAAAAACGTATGTATAAGAGAGTATGCACAAGTTATTATATGAAGCTAATAAATGTTTGATTTTTGCAAGAGCATATTTTGTTTCTCGGAATTATATCAATATACAATAAATTAAAAAACATTTAAAAACTTCAGGAGCCAATAGCATGCACAAAAATAAAGAGAAAATGTTCATTTAATATGTAGGAAAACTAACTTTTTGGGACATAGAAGGCAATATTTGTTTTAATAATATAGTTTACGTTCCTGAAATAAGCGTTTGTTATTGCGTGTTTACGACACTGACACTTCGAGTTAATTTCTTTAAGACTGAAATATATGATAATTCCCTAGGACTAAAATATATGATAATATATAACTGAAAAATAGGAAATAATGATGTGCAACAATATGTTATTTTGATTATTATATAAGATATCGCTAATGCTTTTTTTATAAAATAAGTCGAAAAGTGTTTTATTTAAGAAGATATTTATTTTATTTTTGTTTTTCGTATATATGTCATACACACATTGTATATCATATAAGTGTGTATTAGGGTGGTCCTTATTTTTCGACTTTCAAATGTTTTCCACAGCATCCTCCAAAAGGTTTCCATTTGAAAAAAAATCCCTGCTAAACTTTTGCTCGAATAACGAGAATCCGTGCCCCCAGGTCGTTAAACATTGGAATACCTTTGTATTAAGCGGTCTATGTTATCAATATGGTTTTTAAAGCGTGTTTTCCACAAAAATCGCTCTAGAAGACTTTTTTTCTTTCTACATCGTTTGAGATCTTATAGTCTCACTTAAATAATTAGATAAATTGTTGATGACTAAAAAATAAAAATAAATAGTTATTGCATTTATTGTTTGAGCTACAACAAATCATATATGAACTATAAAAGTTGCAATAATATGTTTGGAGGACAATATAAGTGTAAAACATGATATCTTTCATGTTTTTATTAATAAAGATATTTTTTAAATTAAATATTACATAATAATTAATAATCTTGTGGTTTCTAATCTTATACTGGGAGGAGATCATAGATGTTATAATACCTAGACCGAGGGTTCGTAACATTTCTCATTGTCTGTATGCGTCAAACAATATAAAGAAATAGCATTCTTTCGGTAAAAAGTCTGTCTCTTTCTAACGAAGGCTGTTTTATTCCCACCACTTATCGTAGTTTTGTGGCAGGAATAAAGTAGCCTTCGTTAAAAAAAGACAGACTTTTTATCGAAAGAATGCTATTTCTTTATATTGTTTGACGCGTTCAAACAATGGGAAACGTTGAGAATCCGCGGCCTATTATATAGTTTGTTTGATAAGCGCGTGTCCGGCAAAACTTTTACATATGAACAGGTAGACGGGAAATTCAAACAGGAGCCGGTAGAGGCACCTTTCGCTTAAGATGCTTTGTTGATAAAGCTTTAGTTGTCATTCGATCTTCGTGATAAAAATATATATTTCGCCATAAGTGCCAAATACTGTGACGTTCCGTCGTGTCGCCACGTATTAATATTAATTTTCGTTTTCCTCGTTTTGGGTCAATGTATTAAAGTTATTAACTCCGAGTAATTTACTCCGATCCCAATTTGGATTCGGAAGTCAAGTTGTGTACTAGGTTATGGGATTGTTAGTGGGGAGGAAGGATTGGGTAATTCGCGGGAAGGGTTATTTGAGTTCCCACTCCAAATAAGCTTCGGATTTTATACGCGAATCTAGGAGAATCGCCTTTAAGAATGGTTTTGTAGTCGGGAAATGAATCGGTAAATTCTATTTTATGTACTGAATAGGTTGGTGTAAATGGTATATCGGATTGAGGAGACTGGTCTAATAGTCGTGATAATGCTTCGAATAAAGGAAAAAGATTTTTGTTTGAAGAAAGAACAACCTTGATTTGATACTTTAGCCTCTTTATTCGCTGTTGTCGCCCTTTTGAAGGTATAGGAAAAATGTCACCGAGGAATAACTACATAGAACGGGGGCCACACTATTGACAGCGACCGCTCGGGTGATTGGGGCCACACTATTGGCAGCGACATTCGGGTTAGTTGGGGCCACGCTATTGGCAGCGACAACTAAATAATTGTTTCTCGTGAATTAATTATATAAGAATCTTGATCTAAGCGGAAAAGAAACTAAGGTTCAGTTAAGAAGGTTTTAACAAATAACAGCAATTTATTTCTAGGAGTATATTGAATACAATGGAATAAAACAAGTATGATTATAAGCATGCCAGGAATTGGTAGGGAAGACCGAGGTGAACTAACTGTTGAAGATTTCGTTTTGTTCTTTTTACTGCTCGACTGCTATACTACTACTGTAACTGCTCTAATAACTCCAACTGCAACTCTTGCAACTCTACTCGCTTGCCATCCGTGTTCCCTTTATATGTAATTCCTGGTGTAGGAGTATCCTACTATCATCCAATGGACATTTTCCGAAATTCTTAGGACTTATGATCGCACTTGTTTATTTTATGGTTTGGAGATAGTAGAGCTCCAATAGTAAGCCCTATTCTCTCCTATGCTTAAACTTAGAATTTTTTGACTTAAATTTCTAGGTTTGTTAATTTATATAATTTGCGTCTCTCGACTTACATCTTAGAGAATTTATAAACATTGTGTTGCGAGTGGACTGTCGAAGCTTCAGTGGCCGAATGGAAAGGCGTCTCGCCTGGAAAGTGGGGAGGTTCCAAGTTCGAGTCCTGGAGGAGGCAGTTTTTTCGCAACATATATAAGGAATCTATTTGAGTCATCGGTTTAATGAGGGTTTTGGGAATATAAATATATATAAAAATTTGGGACTCAAGGATTAGTTTAAGTGTGGAAGGTTGATTTGTCGCGTACGACGATCGAAGAAATTTCGATATGTGTTGGACATATTATTATCCTAATATCACATTAATATTAAATAAGTAGTATTAATATCTAATAGCACTAAGATATCCGTGCTTGCTCTTTACTGCCATTTTTCAAATCTTACTAATAAAATGTTAATAAAATGTAAATTTAACTAAAAATTAGAAATTTTAACAATAAAATATTTCTATGAGAGTTAGATCCAAGAATCGAAGGTTTAGCTGTTACGGTATTCTATCTAATCTATAGCAATGTGAAAATAAACAAGATCTTTCGAAGATTTAAGACTAAGATTTTAACATATGGCGGTAAGGATAAGTTCCTGCTGTAATGTAACAATACACATCGCGTTTCGAAGCCGTGTTTCTTTGTACACATCCGAAAGGACCAAAAATGTCACGCCAAGTAGCAGCTAAGAACATGAGAAAGTCAAAAGCATTTGTAAATAAGTGGATGAATCGCTACTTAGAGATGAAAATGTCGATGACTTACCGAAATGTGGCTCTACGCAAGGATTTGGCACTTTGTATATCTTCACAAAAAACTTAGACGTTAGCAAAATGGCCAAAATTTATGAAAAAGCTTTGTTACTATCTGCTCAAACATGATTTATAAGGAAAAATGAAAAATGGATACTACAAGAGGACAATGAAACATTGAAGTCGGCTTTGTACTGCGTGGAAATAAGAAAATAATGTTGAATTACTGAATTAGCCATCACAGTCACTTGATGCAAATCCTATCGAAAACGTTTAGTCTTTGATAAAGTTTAAATTTTGTGGAAAGAAAATTTAGTCGATCAAGGAATTAGTTCAACAAATTCGATTGATATGGAGATCTTTATCTCAAGAATATTCCATAAAATTAGTTGAAAGTATATCTCTGAGAAGCCAGGCAATTATTTATAATGAAGGCGACTGGACAAAGTATTAATAATAAAACATCACAGTTCAATCAAGTAGTATATATGTATTTTATTCCAAATCATTTCAATAAATTATTTATCAAGTTTTGCCTCCCAGCATAAGATTAAGAACCACGAGATTATTAATTATTATGTAATATTTAATTAAAATTGTTTTTTATTAATAAAAACAAGAAAGATATCATGATTTATAGGTATCTTATTTTGTCCTCCAAACATATTATTACAACTTTTATATTACATGATTTGTTGTAGCTCAAACAATAAATGCAAAAACTATTTATTTTTATTTTTTAATTATCAACAATTTATTTAATTGTTTAAATGAGACTATAAGATCTCAAACGATGTAGAAAGCAAAAAAAAGTCCTCTAGGGCGATTTTTGTGGAAAACACGCTTTAAAAACCATATTGATAATAGACAACTTAATACAAGAGTACTCTAATGTTTAACGATCCGAGGGCACGAGTTCTCGTTATCTGATCGAACTCAAACTTGATTGGAATTATGTTTTTGTGTTATGTGAAAACTTTTTAGAGGGTGCCGCGGAAAAAATTTCCAAAAGAAATGTTGGCCAAGAGTAAACAAGGACCACCCTAATGTATATATATGATATATAAGTATATTAGATTTGGTTTCCGCGTTTGAGCCGCGTGGATTTTTCTTTGTTTGTTTCCGACGTTTCGCGAATATTTCAGTTCGCTCAGGGAGGAACAACCCGATGCCAGAATCAAACAAAGAAAAATTCACGCGATTCAAACCCGGATACCAAATCTAATATGTATGGACACCGCGAAAGCCTAAAATATAAAATCAGATATATAAGTATATATACGAGGTGAAGAAAAAGTATGGAAACCCTGAAAAATCTAAAAAAATATAAGCTTTACAGAAAAATGTTTCTAATAAAAGTTGTAGGATTTAAAAAAGTCTATTCAATAGTCTTATCAGTTTGACCCTGCCTGGCGTCGTTAAGGTGAAGTCAAAGTCACCTTGAATTTTTTAAATGGAACACCCCATATATTATTACATATTCTTATAGCTTATCTGGAGAGCTTTCCAAAATACTATAATAAAATATTTTTTCTTTAAGAATTTTTCGAGTAATAACACTTGAAATTTCCAGCACTTTGACATAGAATACAAAATATCTCGTAAAATATTCATCTTTCGATTATCTTGCCTTAATGCTTTTTTGCACAGAATAATGAGACAAATTAATTGGCTTAAAAAAGGCACAAAAAATTTTTTTATATTTATTATGTAAAAAATGTTTTTTTTTAAGCCAATTAATTTGTCTCATTATTCTGTGCAAAAAAGCATTAAGGCAAGATAATCGAAAGATGAATATTTTACGAGATATTTTGTATTCTATGTCAAAGTGCTGGAAATTTCAAGTGTTATTACTCGAAAAATTCTTAAAGAAAAAATATTTTATTATAGTATTTTGGAAAGCTCTCCAGATAAGCTATAAGAATATGTAATAATATATGGGGTGTTCTATTTAAAAAATTCAAGGTGACTTTGACTTCACCTTAACGACGCTAGCCAGGGTCAAACTGATGAGACTATTGAATAGACTTTTAAATTCTATAACTTTTATTTGAAACATTTTTCTGTAAAACTTATATTTTTTGAAATATTTCAGGGTTTCCATACTTTTTCCTCACCCTGTACACACACACACACACACACACACACACACACACACACA